TGGTCCCACGACGTACAAAAGTTAATGCACTATAGCTCAAAAAATATTTGGCTTTCGCCATTTAATCGTTTTATATTATATAATTGTATAATCGTGTACTTATTATATTGGACGGATACGACTTAAGTATACAAAGGGACACGCGGATTAAAAGCATATTAGTTGTGTGAATAAACACCAAAGAACAAATATAATATCATGCACTAGAATGCCTTTCAAACCATTAGTAGAATCCATTAATAATTCAACCATAACGACTTAGAAATACAAAGAGAGGAACATTTATCATGTTTTATTGTGTAGTCACGCTGAGTGCTATTAGAATTATATAAAACCAGTATGAAAGACATTAACAAAAATGATATATTTACATTTATAAAGTTGCTTTAGTTACTTATTCACCGTAAGAGGTGACTATGAGAAAAACTAAAAATTTTATGACTTTGCGATATTACCGTCTTGACATCTATCGTTAATCTGACAAGCTTGATGCAAATTCTTGTTACAACGGATGAGGCCATGTCTAGCAGTGGAATTTTATGGGCTGATAAAAACGTAGAAGAAGAAGAAAGAGGTGAAAAATAATTTATTAATTGTACACGAAAGAGAAAAAGTAAACTAACCTCCTCTCGTTATTGAGAAGATTGCAAATAATATTGTCGCCGAACTTCTTACTACTGATAACGTACCTTGACACCTAACTTTTAAGTTAGTAGAGCTGGTAGGTTGCGTAACAAGGTGATGTCGAATATACTAAGATAAAAACTGTCACAGAATTTTAAACGCTCAAACTTCTTATTGAAGTACAAAAATAATAATTTATATCGAAAAATATTATATCTTGGTCAATAATTTTAAGAATTTAAAATGGCACACTCAAATATACAGTGTAATTATATAACCAATACTAAACCTAATACATGATTGAATTGAAAGTAAAGTTATAGAACAATATAAAAACAATTACGTAATTTCTCTTAAAGCTGAAGCACACTAAATTCGCATGCGTAACGTGGGCGTAGCGGTAATATTTTGTAATCGTGTGCAATATTATATAAAAATTCCGCGTTACGATGTTCGTTCATGCTAATCGAAACCGCTCAACCTATTTTAATTAAAAAAAAATTAAAATGTTTATTGCTTGCTTGATAGATAAAATAATTTTTATCCCGTTAAGTGACCTTTAGTATTTTTATAGCGAATTTAAGGGTCTTTTGTAGAACAAATTTCATCGGATTAGAATAAAGTCTATTTGGTAAGCTAATGTACTATAATATATAAATCGTTACAGAAAGTACTACAGTGAACTTTTAAGGACTGCATAATAGAAAATACAAGGCCTACGTTCCGTGACCATGTGAACTAGGGCAATATGACTTTTCTATATTATTTCAAACATTTTGAGTAAAACTGTAGTTGCAATGTATATCTACGCCGCAGAAATGTATTAAGTGTGATACCACCGTTAAATTCGTGTCATCACGTTGCTTTTTATAAACATGCATTGTGTTTGATGTTTCCTAATCACGTAATAGTATCATAGAATCTAAACCATCATCTCAGAAAGTAGCATTAGATATATGATCCTATCATTTACAGGTTTTACTATGTACTGATGGTGTAAGAATATCCACTACCGTCGTAAGTCGACATAGAGAAAAAAAACTAAGCGATGGGCGGTAACAAACGAGGCGATGGACATGCAACCAGCAGATTCACCCTAATAACACTGAGGGTGAAAATTACCTCAAATATCTGCCCCATTGAAGGACGTTTGTAATTGATGAATGACCCACTGTTGAATATAGGCCTCCCTTATAGAGGAGATAGAATGTAGCGATGTTTTGATGGACTGTTTCCCAGACTCAACTGGGTTTCCTTTCTGTTTGAAGTACGTCTGTAGGTACTACTTACCTAATAGGAGCTCTACCTACCTGAAGGTGGAACAACTATAATTCTGTCTAGGAGTCCGCTGGGTAGGTACGATACTCTTACTTATTTCTGCCACCAAATTGCAGTGCCTGCATTGCTGTGTTCCGGTCTGAAGGATAAAGAGAGCCAGTGTAACTACAGACTACAAGGTATACCATCTTAGTATATAGGAATGACAATATATCGGCCGCCTTATGAAAATAGTTATGCTATGGATATTTATTTATAATCTACGTTCATTTCGTACGCCATTTTCGCGTGAATGATAATGTGTTGATTTTTGGATTTTTCTATTGTTTTATTAGTGTTTTAGTATAATGTTTTATTATAAAATTATGATAAGAGTTTTTGTGTGAATATAATTTATCTTTATACTTAAATAATTTCGAGTAATGCATATTGAAATAATTGTGATTTACACGCTGCCGACATTCGCTTGGTATGTTTTTTTTTTTTGTTATTAAAATACAATAAAATCTTTTTGTAATGAAGTAAAATCTGAAATTTTTAAAGACCACAGGATAGAGAATTTTTTATAAATTTTATAACGCTAAACTTCTTTATAGAAATGTTGTCTCTAAATATAAGTTTTAATGGCTTTAGGTGCTGTGTGTGCGGTTGCAGTTGCATGCGACCGCTCGGGATTTGGCGGGCGCATGTGACTGCATGGGATTTTTATGGGGATCGAAGGGTTAAAATAAATAATATGTGTTTATATAATAAATTTTATACAAAGTGTATTTCGCATTATAATTTTTTTAAATGATTATTTCTTTATAACATAAAATATAAATCCAATTTCAACCAAAATGGTCAATCGACGAATTTAACTCGGCTGGGCAGTTTTCGTCAAGTACTTATACCTCAAAACCTGTAAACGATATTGTACAAACTGTGCGTTATGTCAGTGATGACTCATGCATGTAAGACGTGGTCCTTCACTGCTGACCGTATGAGGATGCTCAAGGTCGATCAGTGAGCTACGGAGAGGGCTATGCTCGGGATTTCTCTGCGTGATAAACTTAGAAATAAGGATATCCACAGTTGAAACAGAGTAATCGACATAGCAAAAAGGACTAGTAAGCCGAAGTGGCAATGGGCTGGCCATATGGCTCGAAGAACTCGTAACTGGTGGGAAAAAAGGTCCTCGAGTGACAGCTTCGTATCGATAGGCGAATTGTAGGGCGACCCTCCTGATGAAGTGACGACCTGGTAAGACATGTAGAAAGTCGATGGATGCAGGTGGCATTACTTGGAAGAGAACTATGTTCAGCAGTGGCTTTGTAAAAGTTTAATTTATTTTGAATGTTTTAGCCGACTACAAAAAGTATAGATGGTAAAAGTGATGCGAGCAAGGTGGCAAATATTTTTAAAAATCAATTTAAGTATACCGGTCAAAAATCATCGCAGAATTTCGTTCCAGGTATCCGGGATGGAGATGAAGCCACGTGCTTTACGGCTAAACATGTTAAAGACGTAATTAAAAAAATGACACGCGGTAAATCTCCAGGTCATGACAGTATCAGTATCGAACATATGCAATATGCTGGTGTCCACCTTCCACGTGTCCTGGACATGTTATTTACTTTTTGCATAGGACACTCACAATTACCTTATGATCTTAAAACGATTGTTGTGCCAGTACTGAAAAATAAAACAGGAGATTCGTCAGACAAAAATGATTACAGACCTATCTCCATGGCTACTACTATAGCGAAAGTGATGGACGGTCTGCTTGAGAGGAAGTTACAGACATCCATTAATCTGTGTGATGCACAATTTGGTTTTAGACCGCAGTTATCCACAGAAAGTGCTGTACTTTGTCTCAAGCACACCGTACGTTACTACAAAAATCGTAGGACACCTGTTATAGGCTGTTTTTTTGGACCTATCAAAGGCCTTTGATACGGTTAAATACGATATACTTTGGAAGAAGCTGGCTACTGAAACTAATGACTTTCCTAATGACTTAATTGGTCTGTTCCAGTATTGGTACGACAATCAACAGAATCAGGTAAGGCAGGCGTGCAATCTGAGGCGTATGGGCTTAAGTGCGGAGTAAGACAGGGCGGACTATCATCTTCTGCACTTTTTAACCTCTGCATGAATAGTCTGATTGGCGAATTTGGTGGTAGTGGAGTCGGCCGCTCTATTGATAATATTGCATATAACAACATAAGTTACGCCGACGATATGGTACTGCTGAGCCCATCAATTAGTGGTCTAAGAAAACTACTCAGTATCTGTGAGAAGTATGTAATGGCTCATGGCCTACGATATAATTTCAAGAAAAGTGAGATCGTATTTTTTATATCAAAATATAAGAGCTACAATTTTCCCACTGTCGCTCTTGAAGGTGTACCACTGAAAAGAGTGACAAGTTTCAAATATCTGGGACACTGGGTTACTGAAAATATGTTAGATGATTTTCACATAGAGAGGGAACGCAGGGCTTTTGCTATGACAGCGAATATGCTCGCCCGTAGATTTGCAGAGTGCAACATAGAAGTTAAAAAACTCTATTCAGAGCCTTCTGTCAGTCCTTTTACACTGCAATCTATGGGTTGAGTATACACGGAGGACGCTCCCAACCCTGCGCGTCCAATATAATAACGGCTTCAGGATGCTGATGGGGCAGCCTCGGTACTGCAGCGCGTCGGCAATGTTTGCTGAGGCTCGCATAGATAGTTTCCCAGCTATCATGCGCAAACCGGCGCCATGTCCGGGCTAGCTCCAACAGCCTCCTGGCGGCGATAGGGAGTCGCTATTGCTGTCCTATCTTGAGGCACTGGAACAGCATCCATATCGGCTCGAGACCTGCTCTGGTAAATATAAAGTAGATAGTGTGTAGTAATACAGTATGTATGTAACCTTTTAAATTTCATTTATTTACTAACCCTAGCTTATAAGTTCTTTTCGTAATTACTAACCCACTCTATGGAAAGAAATTTCTGAAATAAAGAATAATAATAATAATAATAATAAACGTGGATGCCGCCGTGAATACCCCAGTTGTGGTTGATTCAAACGATGATTGAACAGTCGCCCAGGAACTGGAATTAGAGCATATGAGGAGTACATTGGAAGAGGCGATTGTGGAAACGCGCAGTACGCCTCTCGAAAATCGACCGCGACTTCCCTGCATAGCCCTAAGCAAGCGGAATCGGGCTGTCGTGAGAGCTCTGAACCCAATGCTGGTGACCTATTTGCAAGCTAGCCGGGACCTTTGCGAGACGGACTCAATTCTTTTTGGCGCCGCGCTGGCAGTCTGCCGTATCATAGGCGCCAAGGTTTCCACGGCTGGACGCGCTACTGGCCATAGTAGCGCTATCCCAGCATGGAGAAGAAGAATTGAGGAACGTATCGCAAAGGCTAGAGCTCTCATCGGCAGACTGATATGCTTCAGATCAGGCAACAACAGGCCAAGAATTGTGCGCACCGTCAGGATGGCGTTTGCTGGGACAAATGTCAGTTTGTCCCAGCCGGATATAACGCAAAAACTGACGGAGAGCATAGATGATCTGAAGCAGAGAATCGCTGCTTGGGGAAAACGGATTCGGCGATATACCGAGAGGTCGACACGGTTCAACCAGAATCGTCTCTTCCAGAGTGATCAGAAGAGGCTCTATGAATCATTGGAGCGACCAATGGTAAGTGGAACGGGTCCAGCACCGAATCAGGCCGACACTGTAGCATTCTGGCGCGGCCTGTGGTCAGAGCCCGTAAACCACAGCGAGGGCCCTTGGACGGAAGTTGTGGCGAGTCAGTGTGCGGGTATTACGCCCATGGACCCCGTCATCATAACGCCGGATGACGTAGCTGAGGCGGTCCGTAGGGCCCCGAACTGGAAAAGTCCGGGGCTTGACGGGCTGCATCACTACTGGCTGAAGGGGTTCATGGTGTGTCACTCTGTGCTTGCCCGACAGTTTCAAGAGGCTCTCAACCAGAAGTCGCTCCCAAGCCTCTTCACTACTGGGATCACTCATTTGGTTCCTAAAGACCAGGGTACCACAGACCCGAGCAAATACCGCCCCATCACGTGTCTACCGACCATATACAAGACACTAACATCCATTTTGAGCGCGAGAATCACTTGTCACCTGGACTCAAATCAGGTGATGTCGCGCGCTCAAAATGGATGTCGGGGCGGTGGTCGTGGAACCAAGGAACCACTCCTCATTGACGCGTCATTGGCAAAGTGGTGAAACGCAACCGTCGGAACTTCTCCGCCGCCTGGATAGACTACAGAAAGGCATTCGACTCGGTGCCCCATACATGGCTAAAGAGAGTCCTCGAGCTGTACAAGATAGACTGTACAGTTAGAGACTTCCTTGAGCAGTGTATGGGGCAGTGGAGTACGATCCTTTGTCGTCTGGGCGAGCGGATGATGGCTGCGGAGTACCACATAAGGATAAGAAGGGGGTATCTTCCAGGGCGATTGTCTGAGTCCAATCTGGTTCTGCCTCTCTCTGAACCCTCTCAGTACCTTACTGGAGGGCTCCGGGAGGGAATTTCAGCTACGGAGAGGAGGGACAAAAGTGACCCACCTTTTTCTATATGGATGACCTCAAGTTATTCGCCTCCAGTCGCTCCCATCTTATGGAATTGCTATACATCACTTGTGAATTTAGCAATTCCATTGGAATGGAGCTTGGGACGGATAAGTGTGCGGTCCTCCATGTTGAAAGGGGAAGGGTTGCTAACTCTGAGGGCGTAGACTTATCTATGCCCGTCAACTTAAGGACCCTTTCCGAGGCTGAAACATACCGATACCTGGGTATGTCACAAAACATCGGTATCGATGAGACTGGTATGAAACAGTCAGTTTGCGACGTGTTTTATGCACGCTTGACCAAAGTGCTTAACAGCCTTTTGTCCGGTGTGAATAAGGCACACGCATATAACGGCTGGGTCATGCCTGTCCTCATGTATACCTTTGGCATACTCAGGTGGACTCAGACTGAACTTAACGCCCTGGATAGAAAAGTTCGCACTACCATGACGTCCCATAGGATGCATCATCCGAGATCGTCGGTAATGAGGCTTTACTTGTCGCGGAAGCATGGTGATCGTGGCTTCTTGAGCGCGCTCACCATGCATAATCGCGAAGTGTGCAGCCTCCGTGATTACTTCCTGGCGAGATCGGATGATCCATTCTATATGGACGTCATTTCTTGTGATAAAGGACTTACCCCTCTATCCTTAGCCAACGAGCAATGTCAAGACCCGGCAGTGCAGAGCATTTCCGACCGAGAGACCGTATGGAAGGAGAAGGAGCTCCACGGGAGGTTCTACAAGGCTCTACATGAGCCTTTCGTAGACACAGTAGCCTCCCTCCACTGGCTACGCTTTGGTGATCTCTTCGGGGAAACCGAGGGTTTTGTCTGTGCAATACAGGATCAGGTTATTAAGACCAACAACTATCGGAGATACATCCTAAAGGATGGCACCGTCGACATCTGTCGAGCTTGTCGCCATCCCGGTGAGTCACTTAGGTATGTTATCTCCGGTTGTTCGGCGCTTTCTAACTCTGAGTACTTGCACAGGCACAACCTAGTAGCCAGAATTCTACACCAGGAGCTCGCTCTGAAATACGGTCTCGTGGACCGGAAATTGCCGTACTACAAGTACTTGCCGGAAGCCGTGCTTGAAAATGATCGCGCCAGGTTCTATTGGGACCGGGCCATCATCACAGACAGGACTATTCTTGCGAATAAGCCTGATATTGTGCTGATGGACCGGGCACAGTCAAGGATATTTTTGGTCGACATTACCATTCCGTATGACGAGAACCTCGTGAAAGCCGAAACAGACAAGCAAACAAAATATCTGGACCTGGCTCACGAGGTGACCGACATGTGGGGTGGTCTGCCGACCGAAGTTATTCCTGTAGTCGGCTCTGCAAACGGGCTAATCCCAGTCAGCCTCTCGGGTCATCTGAGGCGGCTGGGACTACGTGGCGGACCACTCCAGGTTCAAATGCAGAAGGCGGTGCTCCTCGATACCGCCCGCATCGTCCGCCGGTTTCTTTCCCTTTCCCTCCAACCCTCGGCCGTTTGGTCTCCCCTGCCGAGGGCCTCCATCTGGTTGGGCTTTTACTTATTTATGTACTTTTATATTTATTTTATGTTATTGATATTTATGTATATTTATTTTTTCATTTTCATTTATAATTATATATTTATAGAACCCAACCAGATGAGAAAACTATATAGATACCCCATAATAATAATTCTGTATATAATAATCTAACATATAATAATATAAAATATTCTATATATAATAATAATTCTAGTGATAAAGGGCGTACCCCTCTATCCTTAGTCCTCGAGTAATGGCAGGACCCAGCAGTGCTTAGCATTTCCGACCGGGAGACCATATGGAAGAAGAAAGAGCTCCACGGGAGGTACTACAGGGCTCTTCATGAGCCCTTCGTAGATACAATCGCCTCCCTCAACTGGCTACGTTTCCGTGACCTCTTCGGGGAAACCGAGGGTTTTGTCTGTGCAATGCAGGATCAGGTTATTAAGACAAACAACTATCGGAGATACATCCTAAAGGATGGCACCGTCGACGTCTGTCGAGCTTGTAGCCATCCCGTTGAGTCGCTTAGGCATGTTATCTCCGGTTGTTCGGCGCTTTCTAACTCTGAGTACTTGCACAGGCACAACCTAGTAGCCAGAATTCTACACCAGGAGCTCGCTCTGAAATACGGTCTCGTGGACCGGAAATTGCCATATTACAAGTACTTGCCGGAAGCCGTGCTCGGGGAAAGGACCGCGCCAGGCTCTACTGGGGCCTGGCCATCATCACAGACAGGACTATTCTTGTGAATAAGCCTGATATTATGCTGACGGACCGGGCACAGTCAAGGATATTTTTGGTCGATATTACCATCCCGTATGACGAGAACCTCGTGAAAGCCGAAACAGATAAGCAATCAAAATATTCCAGATATTTTGATTGCTTATCTGTTTCGGCTTTCACGAGGTTCTCGTGACACGAGGTGACCGACATGTGGGGTGGTCTGCCGACCGAAATTATTCCTGTAGTCGTCTCTGCGAATGGGCTTATCCCAGTTGGAACCAATCGGTAACGGTTGGGTCATGCCTGTCCTCATGTATACCTTTGGCATACTCAGGTGGAGTCAGACTGAACTTAACGCCCTGGATAGAAAAGTCCGCACTACAATGACGTCCCATAGAATGCATCATCCGAGATCGTCGGTAATGAGGCTGTACTTGCCGCAAAAGCATGGTGGGCGTGGCTATTTGAGCGCGCTAACCATGCATAATCGCGAAGGGTGCAGCCTCCGTCATTACTTTCTGGCGAGATCGGATGATCCATTCTATAATGACGTCATTTCTAGTGATAAAGGACTTCCCCTCTATCCTTAGCAACGAGCAATGGAAAGATCCGGCAGTACAGAGCATTTCCGACCGGGAGACCGTATGGAAGGAGAAGGAGCTCCACGGGAGGTACTGCAGGGCTCTACATTAGCCCCACATAGATACAGCCGCCTCCCTCAACTAGCTACGTTTCGGTAACCTCTTCGGGGAAACCGAGGGTTTTGTCTGTACAATACAGGATCAGGTTATTAAGACCAGCAACTATCGGAGATACATCCTAAAGGATGGCACTGCTGACGTCTGTCGAGCTTGTCACCATCCCGGGAAGTCACTTAGGTATGTCATCTCCGGTTGTTCGGCGCTTTCTAACTCTGAGTACTTACACAGGCACAACCTAGTAGCCAGAATTCTACACCAGGAGCTCGCTCTGAAATACGGTCCCGTGGACCGAAAAAAGTACTTGTCGGAAGCCGTGCTCGAAAATGACCGCGCCAGGCTTACTGGGACCGGGCCATCATCACAGACAGGACTATTCTTGCGAATAAGCCTGATATTGTGCTGATGGACCGGGCATAGTCAAGGATATTTTTGGTCGACATTACCATTCCGTAGGATGAGAACCTCGTGAAAGCTGAAACAGATAAACGAACAAAATATCTGGACCTGGCTCACGAGGTGACCGACATGTGGGGTGGTATGCCGGCCGAAATTATTCATGTAGTCGTCTCTGCGAATGGGCTAATCCCAGTCAGTCTCTCGGGTCATCTGAGGCGACTGGGACTCCGTGACGGACCGCTCCGGGCTCAAATGCAGAAGGCGGTGCTCCTCGATACCGCCCGCATCGTCCGCCGGTTTCTTTCCCTTTCCCCCTAACCCTCGGCCTTTTGGCCTTCCCTGCCGAGGGCTTCCATCTGGTTGGATCTTATTTATTTATGTATTTTTTGTATTTATTTTATTTAATTGATATTTATGTATATTTATCTTTTCATTTCAATTTATAATTATATATTTATAGAACCCAACCAGATGAGAAAATTATATAGATACCCCGAAATAATAATAATATTAATAAAAGGATGAAATTTGAAATGCGATTGTGTCTTTTTAATGTATGTTACGCTATATATTCGTCAATGTGATCCAATTGTTAAGATTTTTCAAAATTAAATAATACTTCAGGTGTAAATACCATATAAATTTGTAAAAAATTCACTCATAAACGTGGCAAATTGGAGAACGAAATTTTAAATATAACTATTTATGCAACATTAAGGTTGTGAAATTCCTTATCTAAAAAATGAATAAAATGACTTCACATTCTGAAGTCAGTGCATATTTTTTAGAAGAATTATTCCCAGGCTACAAATTGTGAGATTATTTTATTCTTTTTAGTTATTTGAAGTCAGCTATTACTTTTTTCAAGATATTTTTTTACTAACATTAAATGGGCGAGTTCTCAGGTTGAGTTTTGGAGACCTTTATTAGAAGAGAAAGAAAATAATATTCAATAAAATTCTTGGTTAATTTGATGATTGTTATTTAATAATGCAATCTCTTCAATTATAGAATGCAGGAAAAAGTGATAAAAAGCTTCGATTACTAGGTGCCAACTTGCAGATTTAAATAAGTCTTTTATTATTTTATTTTATTAGTCATTAACAAAAAGCAACAACATGAATATAGTTGTGGCCGTGAAAGGAAAAGGGGAGATCTCCCGCCGGGCGAGGTGTTCTGCCCGGGGAGCGGCCGACACTCCGTGTGATAGTTCGGAGCTGTTCTATATATACTGTTCATGATTCGGAATGTTGATAGTGCGATTTAGGCTTCGGTGTGTTTTCGCTTGTGGCGCGACGACAGCGCCGCTACATCACCCCCCTGCTCAGACCGGAGGTCGATAGTGCAGTCTCATTGTCAACGAATGTGCAAGTGCCAGGAAAGTGCCTTGTAGTCTGCGGTGAGTCGAGAAGAAGGCAAGTAATCCGCGAAAGTGTCGTAAAGCAGAGGCGAGCAGTAAGGCTCAGAGCCGTGCCAAACACTGTATAGCGCAGAGAGTAGCTTAAAGGAACAGGAAGCATTATTATTCTAGTGCTGCGATGAACCTTGTGAAGCTAGATGGCTTGCAGGATATGAAGACTGGAGACGATATCTGCTCAGGAGCGAATGGGTATTCTATGACGATGATGAAGCTTGAAGTTTCCGAAGGTTGTTTGGTTGCGTGTTCAGATCACGTCGGGGTCACCACTGTGGCCGTGAAAGGAAAAGGGGAGATCTCCCGCCGGGCAAGGTGTTCTGCCTGAGGAGCGGCCGACACTCCGTGTGATAGTTCGGAGCTGTTCTATATATACTGTTCATGTTTCGGAATGTTGATAGTGCGATTTAGGCTTCGGTGTGTTTTCGCTTGTGGCGCGACGACAGCGCCGCTACATAGTAAATCAAAATTTTACTTCATAGAATAAGTAACAATATTGCAGCTTAATACATAATCTAAATTGCACGTAAAACCAGAGTTCGATCCCTGCCTAACGTACTCGTAATTGTTAGTTAAAACTTAAGAGCCGTATTTATACGGCTCTTAAGTTTTAACAGTTAGGGAAATCTTCGTGGTTTTATATATTGACGTCAGCGGGAATTAAAGTCGTTGTGCGTTGAATTATCACATTTATGTAAACAAGATATAAAGGTTCAAATTTAGACTATTTATAAAAGATATATAATTTCAAGCTATTCTAGATCTAAGCTTGGATATAACGTGCATGTGCCTTACTTTTGTTTAGCAAAGCTGTTAAGGTATTATTCCAATGTTGAAAATAAATTAAGGGCAAACATTCATCAGCGTTTGTTTAGGACTGTTGGTATTCGTTGTTTGCGTTGATTCAAAAACGTAACGAATCCGTTGGCTTTGTGTTGCCTAATTTTTCCCTTTATTTTTTGTCACGGCGCTTTTTCGTGTCATATTAATGAAGTGAAGTTACATTATACGTCGCACGGCTGTTCACTTGCCTCCTCTCGAGAGGGTTTAGGGCAAAGAAGTTTCCATCAAGCTAATTCCATTTGCGAACTTTACATATTTACAATTTTTCAATTTCTTTAAACCTTAATTGGTTCCTCGTGATCCTTCACCGCCTAGCAAGTGTAAAAAATGTTCGCGTTCTCTAAAATTTACTGCGAGAGCTTAACTCCTGAGCTACCTCGGCTTTCTATTCAATGAAAGATTTAAGGTTAAAAATTTTATGAGAGTTACAATAAAGTAAATAAATTGTTTTTTTTTTTTACAAATTCTTTTGTAATAATGGTCATTTTCGTCTGGCAACACAATGTGATCTGCTATAACGGGGGAGAACGTCTGGAAAGGGAATTTTAATGGTTTGATGAATAAAAAAGGAAAAAATGCCATTCTAACTCTGTTACTCATTTTTGAGATCCATTAATATTCTTTGTTGTATAAAAATATAGAACAGAACATTGAAAATATTTCGATTTTATGAGAACAATATTGTAATAGAATTTTCGTTTGAACTCAATTCATCAAATAAAATAAATATTGTCTAAAAAATACGAAAGACAAAATTAATTTAAATGTATTTTAATGGCATCAAGGTTCTATTATATCGAAGGAAGTGAAGCTCTAAAACAACTCACGAGACAATATAAGTCAATGTTGAGAGCAATCGACCCATATTTACTAGCGTGTGCTTGACACGGTGGAGTAGAACCAAACTGAACTGTCTTTCAAGAAATGTTATCAAAGAAATTTAATTAGTCAAAAGCTAAATACATGAAGTAATAATATATAAACAAATAATTAAAATTATCATTTATATTGGTAAATTTTTATAAATAATGAAAATCTTTGTTTAAAATTCTTTTCACAAAAATTTACAAAAGTTGACTTATGCCTTCTCCACCAGTAAACCCATAGCATAATACATAATATAGTATTCTATAGGTGAACCTTTAAGGAAGCACATAACACTACCAATTTTCAATTTGGAAGTGCTAAAAGCTCTGTTAAAGAAAGAACAAAATAACTACATCATAATTACCAAGCATATTTTTATATGTGGATATCGTAAGAGGCAATATTAGGAAACTGAGGCAGAAGAGGGGCAGCAGCATCTTTCTGAACAGCAAAATAATAATAAAAACTGCGGATGTCAACCCGCTCGGCCCTCACATCAAAAGTTACAAAACGACGTCCTCCAGTCCCCGGTGGAACAGCTATTCCTGGCTACAGTGGCGACCATGATAACGGCGGACCAAGGGGTGCTAAATATCTCTGGTAGGAGTTCGGTTGCCGTCTAAAATGACTCGACCTGGCTACATATAACGCAAGCACCTTGAAGACTGACGAGAAGATTCTAGAGCTGGAAGAAGAGATAGACAAGTTGTACTGGGATATTATAATATTATCTGAGGTCCGGAAAGAGGACTTGGTGATTTTTGACCCGACAACTTGTTGTATAACCGGGAGGGCGACCATGTGTCCCAAGGAGGTGTCAGATTTATCGCCCACATGCCTCTTGTTAACAACGTTGGAAAGTTTGGAGTGTGTCGACGGGGGTTATGTACCTTATACTCAGAATCACCAAACGATATTCGCTGAAGGTCATACAGGTTCACGCACCGACCTCGGCATATCTCGATGAAATGTCTCTAGGACAAAGCATTCCCCAAAACCCATTATATAGTGTTAATGGGAGACTTCATCGCAAAACTAGGAACAAAAGAAAACGGTGAGCTGAAGGTAGAGTAATCTAGGATAAGGAAATTGGAAACCAGCAGCTGGCCGACTTTAAAAAGAAAGAGGAACTTTTTTTGAGCAGGAGAAACTTGACTTTAAAAAATTAAAGAATCAATAAATTTCATTTAGGGTACGTTTTTTTGATCATTTTCAATATGTTTTTAAAACATATAAATTTTCCTTATTTTTTGGGATAAGATTGATTCGCCAGCACACTGCTGAAAGATCTTTTATTAATAAATTGGCAGTCATATCCTGTATAATTATGAAAAATTATTAAAACGAATGGACAGGCCTTGTTATTGAAATTACACGTATTTTAAGCCGGACCCCTATACTTGTTAGTAAAATGATCATAATCTGCTACAATAAGATTACTGCTAGTAAACTTATAGCTACAAATATAACACTCAGTCGCATTTTTAAACTAATGTTGTTCAACCTCTCTTAAAGGCATCATGGATCTATAAACTGTCAGAATGTTACACTTATATAATCTTTGTAAATCTCTAACAAGAGATTCAACAAATTTCTTTGAACAATATGGACCTTTAAAAGATAGAATTTATAAAATATTAATGTGAGATGGATACAAAACGGGTTGAATACACTCGTATTATTTTTTGGTAGCCACAACTAATTTCGTGACGACTTTACAGATCCTCGAGGTCTCAGTAGTAGCAGAGCGGTCTTCTTCATCCTTTAAAAACATAAATGATACGAAAGGTTGGATGTTACATTATATATTATTTAAATAGTATCATATGGGTTATTTTGTTTGTTTTTACCAATAAACATTAATATAATTATTTTGAAAATATATAACATATAAACAAACTGCTAAGCAGCTTAACGAGTTAAGAAACAAACATAAGTAGACATAAAGAATGTATGTAATAATTAAAAAAAGTTTAAATCAAGTACCGCTGAGTTAACCAGTGTCCGGGATTTTCGTTTCTTTATTGGTGGGAGTGGTGTAACATCGAGATCCGATTCGCAATCGCTCTCAAAGAGGCCTTGAACGGTTGATTTAGCCTCTACAGCCTAATTTTTGGGTTTTGGCTTACGGGGCTTCGAGTCCCTTCTCACCCGAATTGACTCGGTCTTCTTATTAAATGTGCAAGGAGCGGGTGTTTCCGATGCTCCAGCACCGACCTCTTCATCCGAATAGAAGGGATTGCTCGTACATGTACCTACCTAAAATAGAATACATAAAATAGGATAATTAATATAATAATAAAGTAAGAAAAAGCTAAAGGCATAACGCAGCAAAATTGAGATACGTGCCATTTTTATCAAAAAGAAGTTAATATAATAATGTTTTACAATGTTTTTATCAATCAGGCTGGGATTCTAACCTCAATTCAATCAATAATAGCATTCAGGGCTATAAATGTGTATATGACTGTATGTCAGATTAAAGAATAACTACCTATTAATAAATTGAAACGACTGAGTGATATTTTAATAGTATTCAGGACTAAAAATTTGGATCAGTCTGTCTGTACGATTAAAGAGCAGAGCATCGCTCAGTAAACAATATTATAGGATTCTGCAGTTTGAGCCGTCACATCGAGTAGTAGGCGGGTAGAACAAGGGGCATCCGCAGAACTGCAGTGCTGTGTATCGTGTGTGGTTGCTCCTATGTATCGTGTGTGGTTTTCTTAAGTGGAAAAAACCGCTCCATGGGACATTTGAGGCGCGAGGTGGCGACGCTTTCCCTGAAATAGATTATAAAAGCACGGATTCATATATAATTAAATAGCTTAATTTATAACAATTCGATAAATTTAAGTTTTATAAATAGCTGGCATACAAAATTAAAAATATATGATTTTTTACATTAGTGCCTGCCAGTATCGGGCGACCTTCTATACAGGCC